ACACTTTACTCTTCCCTGCCTTTCCTGCACACCAGTACGCGGCGATCTAAAGCTGCTCGTAGTGGCTGTCCCATGCTTGTGATCCCTTGCCCCCCCATCTACAATCCTAAAAAAGGCTCATTTTCCTTCATGATAGCCATTCCTACTGCTACCGCTCCCTCTTTCGAAAAATGTACTCCATCCCTAGCCATCGGACTTCTACAGCGACTCAAAGCCTCCCTAGTGTCCAGAAACACTGCCCCCTCCGAGATACATAACTCTTTCAACCTGTCGTTAGCCCCTTCCGACCTAGACCACGTGATTCCTCCCTTGTCTAGCCTGTTCGGGATCGCGCATACCGTCACCCGCACCCCCGACCTTGCCTCCCGACACGCCCTAATAGCCTGCCTCAGCCTGCCCATGATGAGTTCAGAGCCAGACATTTGTAATCCAATTAATTGCAGAAAAATTTAATCTCTGCCTCTTTTTGCTCTTGATTGCTACTCTCTTTTAATTCTCTTCATTTTCCCTTTCATTTTCTCAGGAAGTGGCGAAATATGGATAGAAGTGGAGAAGCTCCCCCTGCTGTATGGAGAGAGGCCACTCCCTTCAAACAATCTAAGCAAAAGAATGTTATTCCGAGGGAAGACAAAAGTGACATGGCAGTGGCACACAGTTACAATGTTATGGTCTATGGACAGGGAGTTAGCAGGATTAAAACCACTCAGCCCAGGTAAGTCATGGCGTCTCTCTTCCTAAACTCCCAACTTGCTATGCTAAAATGTAATCTGTTGGGGGAGACCGGTATTATGTAAAGGAGGAGTATAATGCATATACCCCTCTATTACATTGACTGCTGCGTCTGTAATATAGAGTGGACCACAAAAAAAGGTGAACATGTTTTAAAAATGTATAAACTGTTAAATATTGCAGATAGAAACACACATGAAAACCTAGTGTAATCAAAACAAAAACTTTGAGAGTTTCTTCAGGAAAGGCAATTTTCTAGCATGTTCCTATCTGCCATAATTTGCATGCTATGACTTTTTTAAATTTTTATATTTGTGGCCCACCCTGCATTAAGAGTGGGCAAAATTCATTATACATTTGTTGAATATAGAACATAGTTCAATTTCTAACGTTATATTGATTGTTGTTCATATCAAAAAAACGCAAAAACGCAGAAAAATGATCGGGTATTGTAATTTTTAAAAGTTACCCGCTTTCTCCGACAGTCTTCTCCATCTTTCGTATGGGTGTTGAGTAGCGTCTTAAATGTCTATATACTCAAGTTTGTTATCGGGGATAGTGCTTTAGATGTCAGGTGATGTACGTCCTGGAGGCTATCAGAGAATTTTTCCCCTTGAGCAATGTGTCATGCTGTGTTGCAGGGTTTCATCAAGGGCTCCGCAATCACATGATGAATATTTTTTACTAGCGAATTTGAATGCCCTTCGGCAAACAAACTCGTTGTGGTCGCGCCTTCGGCGCTCCATTACCTTGGATAGTGATTAATTAATGTAATCTTTGCGAAATGGCAAGCACGCATTTAAAGTATTAATACGTGCCATTGAAATACGTGACATATGGAGGCGAAAGTCTTCATTTCTATCAACAAAAAAAAACATTACTTCTATTATTTCTAATGTGCCTAACTCGAAATCTTTTACTGTATCCCTTTTTCTCCGATTTTGATGAACTGATAACTGCAGAACTATTTTGTTAGGTATCATAGTACCCTAATTAAACCGGTCAATGCGACGGATTGTCATAGAACATGGGAATAGATCCAGCAGACATTAATCGCGAGGGCTGCTGCCATTGGCTCTCCAGATTACGGGGTGATTCACCTAAGTTCAGATTCACGGTCGAATCTTGGAGTGCATCCGATCGACTCAGCTGGGGTCAAGTTGAGTCAAGTTGCACCATCCACGATTATGGAGTGTCCCCATTTTGGGGGGATCTAAGTACCCATTTTTCGTCACTGAAGATAAATTCCTACCTTGACTTGACCCTTGAAAGCAGTTAATTTCAGAGAGGTGCGAAACAATTTGATTGCCTCACGGGCTTGTGCATTATGGGTTCTGAGAAACACAGGATATGGTAATCGGACAGAAAAGTAGTTCGAGTTTCTTTTTTTTCCACTACCTCTTAACCCTTTGCGGTCCTTAGTCACACTGGGTAGGCCATAGGTCAGTAGGTCCTAAAAAAATGGTCCACTAAGGGTTAAGACCGATTCCTTGAAAATTTCAAATATATTCCTATCTGGTTTATGAGGGGAAAGATCGGTTGTAGTGTGGAAGGTATTGGTGAATAATTCCAGATGTATCAGGAATTGACTCGCTATATGCGACTACTTTCGCGTCATCAAGTGTCAGTGGTGCGAACCTTTGATTCTAGCCTTCGTCAGATGAATACCGTATATATGCTTCAAGAAAACATATATTTAACGTTCAAGCAATGTTCATCAAATACAGCATGGTTTGTGATCAAACGGCACCTTAACTGAGTGCCGAAACGGTGCTGACTCTGGTACATTGGATGTCCAAAGACCTCTTTGAAAACACGTTGCACGTCTTCGAGAGCGTTCATGTGCTACTCAAGCACTGTTATATGTGTAATGCCTTCAGGTCTCATTTAACCCGCGATAATCATTGGGATCCAATCATGTGAATGGATCATTCTGTCAACAAAGGCGAGCAAAAATAATTTGGGAAAATCCCAGAACCAAAACGTCAATACAACATTGAACGCGACGACGTTATGAATGAACTTTGACAAATTTTGTCAAAGTTCATTTCTCCTATTATTCCACGTGGCACCCGAGCACGCCAATGGAGCATGACGCCAATGGAGCATGGTGCCCATGAAGCAAAAAAAAGAAACATTCTACATATGGATGGAATTTGAACGCAGTATACTATGTGGAGGGCACTTCCAGCCCTAGCGAAAATGTCTCACTGCAATCCAGTGGCGGCTCGTGATATCCAGCAGTAGTGGATCGTCAATGGAGGCAGAGTAGGCCCTACCTCCATTAAGAATACACTACCGCTGAATATCACGAGCCGCCCATGCTGCAATCTGGAAACCACCTTCACATTGTCATCGAACAGATTGGGCACCGCAACCGCGGGAAATGAATCCCTCAAATGTGAGTCCCAGTCTGAGAAACATCAACGCCTAGCATCGTGAATCACTTCATACAAACGGATGCAGACAGGGAACATGCAGCAAACAGCATTCGATTCCCATATCACCTTACTTTTACTTTTAAGTACCTGATCCCATTGATCATACTATACATGATTTACCATCTGCCAATGCGACTAATAATCGAGAAAATAACACAAACTCTGAAGAACTCTTGCGCTCTTCGGCTTCCTTGTGTCGTTCATAAGCGTTTTCAAAGGACTGAAGTCAGGAGTCAGGAGTCAGGAGTCAGGAGTCAGGAGAGTTAGTGATATCAAGAGGCGATTTCGCCGATTTAGATATCAAGTGTCGAGGTCGAGCGTTCCTTAATTTTAGGGTAGGCCTAACCCTCTTAAAGCTATATAGTTTTGTATTTTTGTATTTTTTTTTTTACTAGTTGCTTACGGTCTAGTACCTACGTCAACATTGCCCCCCACCTTTTTGCCTGTCCATGAAAGCATCTAGTTTCTTCTTAAAGATAGTCACAGAAGGGGCAGCCACTACTTCGTCATCTAACGCATTCCACGCGTTCACCACTCTGCAAGTAAAGAATTCCTGACTCGACCTGAGCCGCACCTGCGGTTTGCGCAACTTAAGTCGGTTACCTCTCGTTCTCTTGCTGCCATCAAACTGGAAAAACCTACCACACTCGACATTATCTATTCCCTTAATTATCTTGAAAGCCTGGATAAGATAGCCCCTCCTTAACCTTCGTTCGAGCGAGTACAGTCTCAACACTTCTAAACGCTTCTCGTATGATAGTCCCCTAACTTCCTTAATCATTCTTGTGGCCCTCCTCTGTACTCCCTCGAGCGCCAGCAAATCGCCCTTATTTGTAGGCCTCCAAAACTGGATGGAATATTCCAGCTGGGGTCTTATCAGCGCCGCATACAACGGAAGAATAACGCGAGATGTCCTACTTGCAACCGACCGACGAATGTAACCTAGAATCCTGTTGCGTTTGGCCACCGTCGCTTGCGCGTGCGAGGAAAACTTGAGGTCCTCATCGATAGAAACACCTAAATCTCTCTCTCCGTTTGCCTCATCCAATTTAACATTGCCGAACGTGTCAAGAGACCTACCGTTGTTTCGAGAACTTTACNGAACGCCCCCCACTGCTCCTCTACCGTCTGCCCACGGAGCCGCTACTCCCAGTCGATGCCTGAAACGCATTCACGTAGTCTCTGATGGAAACAGTTAGAAAAGGGCATGCCATTATGCGATTCTGAAATTCTCAGATTTTGAGGGATGGTACCGCTGCGAGGAAACTGCGGTGATTAACTTCTTTGCGGAGCCGTGTGACCGCAAGTGGCGACAGACTGATGAATTGCTTCGTATTTCATCATGGTCGCCAAAAATTATTGCATTCCGGGCAGTGGGCAGGATTCACTGCAGTGAGCGATGCCACGGTTTCCTTGCGAGTACCACGGGAACTCCTGTCTCCTTGTTATTTTGAATAGGCGCATCCGCGGATAAGGAAGATGCCTGTCGAAACTCTAAGTTGATATATGCAAGCATTTCGCCTGTAGAGCTGTCACACACACATAAATGTCGTGTGTGACAGCTATACAAGGCCGTTTATAGTTACTGTTAACGTTAGAGCGAAATCTAGGAAAATAGAATACTTTAGAACGAGCGTTATAGGTTAAAGCGAAGGGTCCGCCCTCGCTCCACAGACAGGATAAGCCGTCCAAGAAGACGACTGATGGCAAATGCAATACAGTGTTCAACAACATGATACAACAAATATTTAATTTAGGTTAAAAGAATATAAGAAGTACCAGAGTCAATTTGATGTTGATGAGGACTTGATTGAGGGAAAGAAGGCGGTGATGAGGGTTTGACGAGAGATGAGGATTTCCAGTCCTGGTCACCGATAGAAACGAAGGTAAAGACTTCTTTTGCAGGATGGAAATTTTATATTTTTTAACTAAATGACAAACACACAATTGTCGCTCAACCCAATTAGCGGTCAGGAACGTGCTTGTTATAGCAGGTATGTTTAACCTCCGTTCCTCCAGCTTGAATCATGTGCAAATTCATTTTTCAGATTAACCATCCTCGTAGTCTCAATTTTGTTTCAAAATGGAGTTTTCCATCATCATCTCGACAGAAAAATAGTTCTAACTATCCACTCTAACCCTAGGCGCCCTAACCACCAATTTAGCGATTTCTACCCTGGGACCCACAAAAATGCAGTTCCCTGCGTTTTTAACACTGTACACGATCTGTTAAAGGCTTTGGGATTCCTAGATGGACCCATGAAGGAGGTAACCCGGCAGAGGGAGACTCCAGGTACTTCTGACCAGATGGTCGGAGAAGACATGCTGAATCGGGATACGTCACTTCGGGACCGTAACATATCTATCTCGAGAATGACATCATGCTAACTGGCCAGCGAGCGTGTGTCTCGCTCTCCATCTGCAATCTGGAGGTGAATCCAGGGACGTAACTCCTTTGTTGGACAAAATGAATTACGTCTTTCCCAGAATTAAAGTCGAGTTTTAATTCAGTGAAGAAAGTTGCTTGGCATGACCATTCCTTGGAGCAATATCACACATCAGAGTACTTTCAACATCAGCGCTAGTTCAAGCTCGGCAAAGATAAAGGTGTTGCACAAACGTTGACATCCTAACGCTGGCAAAACGCGACACACGATCGTATCAACTCTGAAATGTGTTTCATTTCCACATTGCGCAAAACCCAATCCCTCTTTTACACACCAATAAGGCAACATAGAAACGTGAAAAAATCAATCCTCATTGAATATTGACCCGACGTTGTTGTGCCGAATAGGTGCACATCCAATAAATTAATAATAAAAATATTGCTCCTTAGGATTGGGTTGCGAACGAAATTGTGCATTCTACATCTTCATGTCTGACAGGACGGGTCTTAGTTCCGTTCCTCTGGGTCCGTACGGACATATTGGAATTATTTCAATAGAAATTTCCTGCGTTGTTTAACTAAGGAAAAACATTCCGATATCATGCCGAAACGCAATGAAAGAAGAAACTGGGAAAGGTCCTCGCAACAGTGATTGTCAGATGAAGAGAATCTCACGTGAGACCTATACTAATATCGATCCCTCTCAAGTACCGAGTAGCAAGGCCGAATGTTCCCGCGTACGCAGAGCAAATGGGACAGATTCCGAATAGGAATGATTATAGATTAAGATAGGGCATGGCTGGGTCTTCAGGCAGTTCCGAAGCGTGGTCGACAGGGAATCAATTTATATTAAAAAGAGTTTCTTTCCAGTCATTTTCATTCAGTTACAGAAATTGAAAATCCAGATAACATCTCACTTGTACAAAGGCTTTAGACAATTCAAGACCATTAACGTCGTCATTACATACTTCCAGGTGAACTCATGGGGAGAGAGCGACATGAATTCCTACATATAATTGGTACAAACAGCAATATCACCAATTCATTCATGAAAACAAGGATATGATCTTGAATAATCTATTTCTAGACAGATATGAAGGACTGAATTCCGGGAGGCTCTTGGGGACATTTGGTAACAGACAATTTATTCATATTTTCCCCTGTGTAAAAGACCAAAAACAATACATGAAAACCTCATAGATTTTGATCGCCTACAGATGAAATGATTCCAGCCGAATGTGAACGATTCTTAATCAGCATCGGTAAGTAGAGTTTTTTTCCGGTTTCTTCGTCTCCGCGGACGTTTCCTTTTAATTTCTAATTTCTTTCTTGCCGTACAGCGCGGATGGACGAGGACGAACGTGGACCCTTCCTACGCAGAATCGGTGATATGAATTTCTTCGAGTTTCTTCGTCACCGCGCTAAGTGTCTTTTAATTTCTAATTTCTTCTTGCCGTACAGCGCAGATGGACGAGGACGAACGTGGACCCTTCCTACGCAGAATCGGTGAGAGGAGTTTTTTTCCGGTTTATACGTCTCCGCGCCCGGCGTATTTTAATTTCTAATTTCTTTCTTGCCGTACAGCGCGGATGGACGAGGACGAACGTGGACCCTTCCTACGCAGTATCGGTAGGAGAGTTTTTTCGGGTTTATTCGCCTCCGCGCCCGGCGTCTTTTAATGTATAATTTTTCTTTTCGTACAGCGCCAATGGACGTTGACGAACGGAGACGCTTATTACGCATTATCGGTAAGAGGAGTTTTTCTTTACAGCATTTCTTCGTCTCCGCTACCGGCGTCTTTTAATTTCCAATTTTTCTTGCCGTATAGATGAATTAAATCCTGTCGAACGTGGACGCTTCCTACACAGCATAGGTAAGAGGAGTTTTTTCGAGTTTCTTCGTCTCCGAGCCCGACGTCTTTTAACTTTTAATTTTGCTTGTCGTACAGCGCGGATGGACGAGAAGGAACGTGGGCGCTTCCTACGCAGTATCGGTGAGAGGAGTTTTTTCGTGTTTATTCGTCTCCGCGCCCGACGTCTACTTATTTTATTTAATTTTTCTTGACGTACAGCGCGAATGAACGTTGATGAACGTGGACGCTTCCAACGCAGTATCGGTAAGAGGAGTTTTTTCGCTTTTATTCGTCTCCGCTATCGGCGTCCGTTAAATACTAATTTTTCTTTCAATACAGCGCGGATGGACGAAGACGAACAGGAACGACTCATGGGAAGCATCGGCAAGAGGAGTTTCTGTGGTTTCTCCGTCTCCGCGCCCGGCGTCTTTTACTTTCAAAATTTTCTTTCCTTACAGATGAATTAAGTCCTGTCGAACGTGGACGCTTCCTACGCAGTATTGGTAATAGGAGTTTTTTTGCCGGTTTCTTCGTCTCCGCGCCCGGCGTCTTTTATTTTCTAATTTTTCTTGCTGTACAGCGCGAATGGACGTTGACCAACGTGGACGCTTCCTACGTAGTATTGGTAAGATGAGTTTTTCCTAGTTTCTTCGTGTCCCCCCGGCGTCTTTTAATTCATAATTTTTCTTTCCGTACAGCGCGGATGGACGTTGACGAACGAAGACGCTTCTTACGCAATATCAGTGAGAGGTCTTTTTTTTGGACTTCTTCGTCTCCACGCACGGCTTCTTTTAATTTATTATTTTCCTTACCGTACAGATGAATTAAATTCTGTCGAACGTGGACACTTCCTACACAGCATAGGTGAGAGGAGTTTTTTCGGGTTTCTACGTCCCCGAGCCCGGCGTCTTTCAACTTCTAATTTTACTTGTCATATAGCGCTGATGGAAGATGACGAACGTGGACACTTCCTACACAGCATAGGTGAGAGGAATTTTTTCGGATTTCTTCGTCTCCGCGCCAGGCGTCATTTTTTTTAAATTTTTCTTTACGTGCAGCGTGGATGGACGAGTACGAACGGGAACAACTCAAGGGAAGCGTTGGTAAAGGGAATTTTTGGGGGGTTTATTCGTCTCTGTGCCTGTCGTCTTTTAACTTCTCATTTTACTTGTCGTACAGCGCGGATGGACAAGGACGAGAGTGGACGCTTCCTGCGCAGGATCGGTAAAAGGAGTTTTTCGTGTTTATTCTTCTCCACGCCCGGCGTCCTTTAATTTCTATTTTTTCTTACTGTACAGCGTGGATGGACGAGGACGAACGTAGACGCTTCCTACGCATTATCGGTAAAAGGAGTTGTTTCGGGTTTCTTCGTCTCCGCTACCGGCGTCTTTTAATTTCCAATTTTTCTTGCCGTATAGATGAATTAAATCCTGTCGAACGTGGATGCTTAATACGCAGTATCGGTAAGATGAATTTTTTCAGGTTTCTTCGTCTCTGCACCCGGCTTCTTTTAATTTCTAATTGTTCTAACCGTACAGAGGAATTAAATCCTGTCGAACGTGGACGCTTCCTGCCCAGTATCGGTAAGAGCAGCTTTTTCTGGTGTCTTCGTCTCCGCGCCTGGCGTATTTTAATTTCTAATTGTTCTAACCGTACAGAGGAATTAAATCATACCGAACGTGGACGCTTCCTACGCAGTATCGGTGAGAAGAGTTTTTTCCGGTTTATTCGTCTCCCAGACCTGCGTCTTTTAATTTCTAATTTTTCTTGCCTACAGATGAATTAAATCCTGTCGAACGTGGACGCTTCCTACACTGTATCGGTGAGAGGAGTTTTTTTTTCGGGTTTTATCGTCTCCGCGCCCGCGCCCTTTAATTTCTAATTTTTATTTCTGTACAGCGAGGATAGACGAGGACGAACGGGAACAAGTCATGGGAAGCTTCGGTGAGATGAGTATTTTTCGGGTATCTTCGTCTCCGCGCCCGGCGTATTTTAATTTATATTTTCATATTGTCGTGCAGCGCGGATTGACAAGGATGAACGTGGACGCTTCCTTCGCATCATTGGTAAGTGGAGTTTTTTTGCGTTTGTTCGTCTCCGCGCACGGCGTCTTTTAATTTCTAATATTTCGTGCCGTACAGATGACTTAAGTCCTGTCGAACGTGGATGCTTCCTACGCAGAATTGGTAAGAGGAGTTTTTTCGGGTTTCTTCATCTCCGCTCTCGACGTTTTTCAATTTCTAATTTTTCTTGCATTACAGATGAATTAAATCCTGCCGAACGTGGACGCTTCCTATGCAGTATCGGTAAGAGGAGTCTTCTTGGGTTTCTTCGACACCGCGCCCGACGTTTTTTAATTTCTAATTTTTCTTGCATTATAGAGGAATTAAATCCTGTCGAACGTGGACACTTCTTACAATTCATCTGTAAGAGGAGTTTTTTCGGGTTTCTTCGTCTCTGCGCCCATTGTCTTTTAATTTCTATTTTTTCTTGTCGTATAGCGATGATGGACGAGGGCGAACGGGAACAACTCATAGGAAGCATCGGTCAAAGGAGTTTTTTTTCGGGTTTCTTAGTCTCAAGGTCCGGCGTTTTTTAATTTCTAATTTTTCTTGCCCTACAGCGTGGATGGACAAAGACGAACGCGGACGCTTCGTTCGCATTTTCGGTGAGAGGAGTTTTTTTCGGGTTTCTTCGTCTCGGCGCCCAGTGTCTTTTAATTTCGATGTTTTATTGCCCTACAGCGTGGATGGACAAGGGCGAACGGGAGAAACTCATGAGAACCATACGTAAATGGAGTTTTTTATGGTTTCTTTGTCTCCCCGCCCGGCGTCTTTTACTTTCTCGTTATTCTTGCTGTTAAGTGTGGATGGACAAAGACGAACGTGAACAACTCATCGGAAGCATCGGTAGGAGGATTTTTTTTCGGTTTTCTGCATCCCTGCGCCCGGCGTCTTTCAATTTCTAATTTTTTAATGCCCTATAGCTTGGATGGACAAGCACAAACGTGAAGAACTCATGGGAAACATCGGCAAGAGGAGATTTTTCGGGTTTCTTCGTCTTCGCGCCCGGCGTCTTTTAATTTCTAATTTTTCTTACTGTACAGATAAATTAAATCCTGTCAAACGTGGACGATTCTTACGCAGTATTGGTAAGAGGAGTTTTTCTCCGGTTTCATTGTCTCCGCGCCCGGCGTCTTTTAGTTTCTAATTTTTCTTGCCGAAAAGCGTCGATGGACACGGAAGAACGGGAACAACTCATGGGAAGCATCGGTAAGAGTATTTCTTTCGGGTTTCTTCGTCTCCGCGATCGGCGTCTATTAATTTCTGATTTCTCTTGCCGTCCAGCGAGGATGGACGAGGACGAACGTGGGCGCTTCCAACGCATTATCGGTGAGAGGAGTTTCTTTTCGCGTTTCTTCATCTCAGCACCCGGCTTTTTTTTATTTCTTTTTTTTTCGTACAGCTCGGATGCACGATGACGAACGTGGACCCTTTCTACGCATTATCGGTAAGAGGAGTTTCTTTTCGCGTTTCTTCATCTCCGCACCCGGAGTATTTTAATTTATATTATTTATTGACGTTCAGCGTGGATGGACAAGGACGAACGGCAACAACTCATGGGAAGCATCGGTAAAGAGGAGTTTTTTCGGGTTTCTTCGTCTCCGCGCCCGGCGTCTTTTAATTTCTATTTTTTCCTACCGTGCAGATGAAGTAAATCCTGTCGAACGTGGGCGCTTCCTACGCAGTATCGGTAGGAATATTTTTTTGAGGTTCCTTTTTCTCCGCGCCCGGAGTCTTTTAATTTCTAATTTTTCTTACCGTACAGATGAACTAAATCCTGTCGAACGTGGACGCTTCCTACGCAGTATCGGTGAGAGGAGTTTTTTCGTGTTTCTTCGTCTCCGCGCCTTTTAATTTCTAATTTTTCTTGCCTTCAGTGCGGATGGACAAGGACGAACGTGGTCGCTTCCTTTGCAGTATCGGTGAGAGGAGTTTTTTACGGTTTCTTCGTCTCCGCGCCCGGCGTCTCTTAATTTCTAATTGTCCTTGCCTACAGCGCTGATGGACAAGGACGAACGTGGATGCTTCCTTAGCAGTATCGGTACGAGGAGGTTTTTCCGGTTTTTTCGTCTCCGCGCCCCGGTGTCCTTTTTATTTCTAATGTTTCTTGCCCTACAGCTTTTATGGACGAGGACGAACGCGAACAACTCATGGGAAGCATCGGTTCGAAGAGTTTGTCCGAGTTTATTCTTCTCCTCGCCCTGCTCATTTTAATTGACTTTTTTTTACTCTTGGAAGCGGTGCTTGGGTTCATCGGAAGGAAGCACCTTTTTGTCATTTTAGGTATTCAACGTTTTTAATTTGTTTATTTCTTTTAGCGTTCATTTTTCATTTTGATTTTTTTTTAAATTGCAGTTGAGCTTGGCATGAATCGTTCTCAAATCCTTCTGCGATTTTTATGTATGGTTTGCCTATTTTCAATCTTGCCTAATTTTTTTTTAGTCCTAATATATTTTTCTTTTCTTTGCAGCCCAGCTCAAGAGGAACGCTCTTGATGGATTAAGGAGAATTGATGGTTTGTTTTAATTCGGTTTTTCATTGTCTTTTTCGTCGTTTGACGTTCCTCCTCATACACCATTCATGCATTACTCATTTCTCTTCATTTTTACCTTAAGATACTAGGAGAAGACTTCGGTAGCACTTATTAACCCCTTCAATGTTGTTGACTTGTCGCCAATTTTATTTCTATCCCCTCCTGATCACCAGGAACAATTGATCCCGTATTTGGAGTTGTTATATGATTTCGTTAATTTCCTGAATTAATTCGTTTTCATTTCCCTCCTTGTCGCACCTTAGGTGTTTTCAATCACGGTATTCCATGTTGTGTAAATGTATTTTCTTGTAATCCTGACATTTTCCAATTTTTTATCATCGTTGGATGATTTCGCCATGGAAAAATAAATAAGCTGTAGTTCATTCGTGTTCTGCCTGGAATCTCTGAGACACTAATTCTCAGCTTGATAGAACTGCTTCTTAGCGTGACCTCGGAAATGCTTTGTTTTGCTGCAAATCATTTAATAATTTCAAACTAAGGGCTGTCAAAACTTACATGGTTTTATCATTCCTCTGGGTACGGATCTCGAGTCACGGACAAAATGGAAACTAGATCGTCCACCGCATATCTAAGGCTTGCACATTTCAGGGAGCTCTTTGGCGAACCGTGGTTGCCAGATCGGAAGTTTCTAAGGAGGCGAAACTCTCGGTTATTTGGCGGGTTTATCTCCCCACCCACTCCTACAGGGTGATATTTAAAACAGTTCTTAGTTTCCAATCCGCGTAACTATCTTGTAATAACATTATTGTCACCAAATTTTCACAAAAAATGAAGAAAGCATGGGAGATTAATGTTGGCTCAAACAAAGGATGAATCATGGGAAAATACTCTGGGGGCAGCGCTGACGCAATATGGCGTCCTTCACTTAGGAGCTGAAATTGTTCCTAATGAAATGATTCTTCAAGCTAAACGAATCACCTCTAAGTGTGCAAAGACAGTATCGACGGCACTTGTCTAACAGGAACGTCCATCCAGTACGACAAATACTAGATTTCTTAAGCAGTTTGAATCGGAAGGTGATGTCAGGGTCCGTCGAAATGCCCACTCCGAGCATCCAATCACCTCGCGCGTATCCCGCAAAATTTATCTCTTGCCAGACAAATGTTCATCTGCAATCCCAGAGAGAGCCTCTTATGAGCTTCACAATTTAATATCTCGTATTCAACAACATTGCTTCATTTTCTATACCAGTATCTAATGTATATAGACGATCTGGGCATAGCATGGCATAGCATCAGGAGCAAGTCCAATTATCAACCAATGCAAATAATTTCCTAATTGGTTCATCTGCCTTTTAGATTTCATGCTATTACAATTGGTTTTCTTTTTATTAACCTTACATAGAACTTGATTCTGATCTCTGACTATGGGTTGCAACCAGGTGATATCGTCAGTGTTGAGACAAGGAACGAAGTGGAGTGATGGAAAAGTAGCATCTGTGACAGGGTTAGCCAGTGGAACAGCCCTCCTCATATATCCCAATATCTCACTTGTCATTTATATGACTACCAAGGTGGCTGAGGTAAGTTCTTGCTCCTTATACATATGCCCTCTAGGACAGTGGTTCTCAACCTTTTTTATATTGCAGCCAAAAGAGCTCTCTTCATATATTTATGTGACCCACAAATTTAGAAACATCCAGAAATAATGTAGACATGTGATGCAAAAAAAATAGATTGCATTATATAAGTACAGAAATGATGCTTTCAATATTTTACTCTGGGCACAGGGCTTCATTATTCCTTTCTGTTTCTTTACCTCTTTAAGCTTCCTCTGAAAGAACTCAACTGGTTTATCTTTCAATGTTGGGTAATTTTGATCTAAATGCCACTTCAATTTTGAAGGCTTCATGGAAGCATTGGCCAGCAGTTCACCACAAACTTCTGGTTTCATACTTTCTGATACTATGAAACCACAGTGAGTGTATGAATCATTATGCTTCTGGATCAGTACTAGTTTTGACTTTTTTGCTGGAGGAAAGCCAACTTCTGTATCAGTTACTGCACCAGGGGTGCTACAATTAGTACCAGCATTTGCACTTGGTTTCATCAGGATATGATCCATCTATGTTTGAATGCTAAACCTAAATAAGTAACTACGGGAAATTATGGATGGAATAAACTTTGTAAACCTCCCCTTCCTGAAAAAAGAGACAGAAATATAACAGTTCAGGTANCATTTCGCAAAAAATGAATGAATTAATCACTATCCAAGGTAAGGGAGCGCCGAAGGCGCGACCATAGCAAGTTTGTTTGCCCTTCGGGCAAACAAACTCGCTAGTTTCTGTATATTCTTACAAAATCCAGGTGCACCAACGGGCGACAGAAATTAACGTGGAGAAACGCATTCTGTTCTCATGGAGGCAATCTTCCCTGTTATTCCCAAATTATTCTCTCCGTTTGGCGCCGTGTGATTAATGAAAATGCATCTCACATCGGACATGTCAAGTTCTGATCAATGAGTCCACTTGAATCTCCCATGTCTTCCATACTTTCTATGTAAATTTGGCTACTGCACTGTTATCATAATGAAAATTATGCGAATCGGAAATTAGGAACTGGTTTATAAATCACCCCTGATGATCATGAGTTTTGAGTGATGGATGAAAAATCCAGATCGCGTATCCAAACTGCCGAAAATGAGGTTTCTGCGTCGAATGGCTGGCGTGAGGCTCCTCGATCATTCTACATTCGATGAAAACCTCCACGTCGATCGTGTGTTGATCGTGATCAAGAGGTCCCAATTCAGGTGGTTCTGACATGTCTGTCGTATGCCCCCTTAAAGACTCCCAAGGGGAGTCTTCCAGGCCAAGACAGTGGATAAACCACATACATGGTGCAGTGGTTACGTCGCTCGGCTTCGTTAAAATAGACTTGAATCCCACCTGCTGAGTTTGAGTCTGTTGCCCAGGATGGAGATCATTGTAGGACTCTCTGGGGCATGCCCGAATAATGAACCCCATGAATTATGAAAAACGGTATGGAATATGTCTGTAAGAATGCACCTAGAATAGTCAGGTGCATGCTTTAGACGAGTGAAATATATACGCAAATTGAACGATAGGTATTTACCACAAATTTTCACATAAGTCGTTTCAATTTCGGCAGCGCTTCCTCTTTTGGTTTTCGCTTTCAATACAGTCAAAAGACCATTTATTTCGGTGTCAGCATATCGATTTCGGCAGCGCAAAGGAATCTTTTATCTCTGTCGGTCCATTAGGGATTCCTTGAGGAAATCATGAGGCACGTTCATAGGATTAGGTCACTAGAAGAACCAGTTCGTGGCATCAGGCATAATGCAAGACCTCACAAAGGTGTCTTGGTCTCAGATGATTTTAATCACGTTCGCGTACTTTCTTGAATCCGACAGAACAGACCCACTCTGCATTCACTGTGAGCTTCAACTTTTTTGAAACTGAGACATAACTTGGACAACAACGACTAGGAGGAAGCTCGCAGCAAAGTCGGATAGAGAAACTGCTGAGGCAGTTTGAGAGGTAGCAGTTGGGCACATAACTCATCAGAAATGGTTTGCGTGGTTTCGCCATGCCCAGACTTGGTTAGATACTAAAGAAAAGAGCATTTCGAGAGCTATAATTGCTTCAATGGTCATGCACATTCTTTTATGAATAATAGAAATATGATTCTTCGCCGAAAATACTGTCAACTGCATATTAGCGTTTTGTTTTCGGAAAGCAACTCATATTTAGAAACATTAGCTCTATTCATTCCTTCTCTGCACACCTATGCTCATTGCCAAAAACAGGAGATTCCCTGACGCTACCGAAATTGAAGCGAAAAACCCAATCAAATTGAATATGAAAACATGTATACCGAAATTCGTTGGTAAGACACGTCTGTAGCACTGTAGCATGGAATACCTGGGCAAGGACAAAATAAAATCGGAAAAATTCTGTATGCAGTCTCTGTTAGGCATTTCGAAACCCAGTATCTTAAAGGGTCAAATCTTTTTTGTGTATTACTTTCATTGTGCTATTTTATGTGATTTGTTTTCTTCCCGAAGAACCCTGGCTCATTCAGACCAAGAGTTTCTTAAAAGGTACTGGTATGGACCAACTTTATTTCTCCCTGCGTCTGCATCCCCGTACCTCATGTAATTTACTTAATTTCCGTTACAGAAAAACTCGAGGAGAAGGAGCTTTCTTTATTCATGGAATTGATTGGTACGAACAACCTTTTATTCTTTGTGTGTCTTCCTACATGGCTTCACCGGTTGATATGTACTTCTCTTCTTTTCAGAGATATCGAGGTCGTATCGAACAAAGGGTTTTCTTGAAGCCTATGGTAATGAGTAACATTTTTCCCCTTCTTGGCATCTCTGTGCCCGACCGAGTGGGGTTAACAGTATTTCTCTCCGATATAGAACAACTCGGGGAGAAGAGACGTTCTCAATTTATGGAACTATTTGGTATGCATGTCGCTTTCACGTATCTTCTGCTCTATGACCACTCTCATCGCACTAAACATATTGCATTTTCTTCCAGGCAAACTTGAAGTCAAAAGACATCCTTGACGTCCATTTTCTGCAAGGTGTTCCAAACGATGCTTGAAATTTGTATTTCTTACATGAATATTTCAAAACCTTACGAAATCTATGGAGTCTTGTGCGAATTGAGTCAACAGTTGATATTATAATTCATCAGGCTGTGATATATGTGATAAGTTCTATCTTCACTTCCGAAAGTTGTGACAATGTGCGGGCGCTCAAGTTGATACTTTGATCAAGATAATCGAGGCGGATGGTTTTTCCCTCCTTTCTCATATTTCGTGCTTTCGCATTTGCATTCACATTTAAAAGATTCATCTCATAATTCCCTCGTTCGACTGAAATCTTGTTTTTAGCAGGAGAGGCCATTTGATCCAGTTACGCCGCTTATAAACTGGACCGACTGTAGCGTGCCCTGTCCTTGATTTTAACTATTTGTACAATATCCAAATCATGTTGCTTTGAGAAATTTCTCGCAAATTTCAGTTTTCCTCAGTGCTGCAAGTGTTCAAGTATCCAGTCAGGGTCTTGTTTTGAAGGTACCACCTAATGTGAATTGATTTATTTTCAAAATACTCAATAAGTGGAATGAAATCTGATTTAAGAGATCACAACAGCATTCCGATTACTCATTTTCATCATGTGACAGAATATACAGTTTAGGGAAATAATTTCAGAGGATGTGAGAGTCAATATGCATACCCATTAGCACTTGGTCGGGTGCTCTAGTTGTCATACTGCATTTCCTTTATTTTATCACACAGAAGTCATCTGGATCTATGAAGCTGATGCAATGGTGATCGAATGAATTTTCTTGTTCCATCTGCTGCGAACTTTCAAATGAATCTAATCTAAAATGAAATCTTAAGAGGGACAACACCAAAACCAGCGATAAGAGAAAGTTTAGGGCATCGTGTTATGGCATCAGGAAAATAATGAAATTCTCACCAACCCGTCCCCATCGATTTAGACCAGATCTCATGAGAAAGTTTCATGCTTCCCAATCATCATCCTTTACACCCAGTGGTAATTCCTTGGGACTACCATTGTGGGGGGAAGAGGACATTGAAGTTCCTCATTATTTCTCTTGTTCCATTTTTAGTGTCAATTCACCTTCGGTTCCATGATTGGTGAAAGAAGTCGCTTTAAAAGTCTTTTTCAATCGGTATGGCACAAGGCTTTTCTTGATATTCATGCTCAATAGCTGAGTTTGGGACCGAGCTCCTGCCGAATTTACCAGGTAGGCCAAAAAACCGCCACAAATTTGAAGCTTAAAAACTTGGGTCGCGTCGGGCCAATATCAATTTTTTTTTTAAGCAAAATGAAACATGTTCAATTTCTTTCGAAATATATATACTTTTTTTGGTGGGGGCTTTCCTTCAGAGAAATAGCCGCTATTACAATTTAAAAAAAAGTGACAAAAAATTTCCTGAAAACAGCTTTCCTGAGTTCTTTTCAACGTCGCGTTGCTGCTGTCCCCTGTTTTTGATGAGAGATCATGCGATCATGAGGCGAGTAACATGAGGATGTTTCAGATTGTGGAGGAGGGCACATTGAACCATTTTTGGATTATTAAAGGGTCTGTGTGCATGTGAGTAATAAATTCGTTGTCAAGGAAAAGGATCTTGGAGAAAAGCCCACTTTCAAAAAAATTTTTCTCGTCATTTCTTTAATAGCGGCTATTTCTCTGAAGCAAACCCCCAACATTATATATCAATTCGAAAGAAAATCGAAGAAGCTTTATTTTGGTTTTTTAACAATTGATGTTGGCCCAACGGAGCCCAAGTCACTAAGCTTCAAATTTGGGGAGGTTTTTTGGCCCATCTTGTATGTAATCAGCAAAATTGTAAGATTTCTCAATTTCTTACGAGTCAAAAGCGATTTACTAACTTCGGAGTTCTGTTATATAAACGTCGACTCCAGCCAGGAAGGTGCTTTAATTATATGAACAATGGAATTCAATCCCTAGCTAGGCATTAGCATTCCAAGCCATCTTATGGATGACACCTTCCATGAAATTTTCAGGTGTTTCCATCCAGAGTCCATTTGGTGGAATTACCTTTGGTCTTCGACTCAAACTGTCTTCTTGAGAATGTCTTTGCTTCACCACTTGAAGTAAAAATGGAGTCTTCTTGAGGGAATTGAAATAAATGCGATTCCTCGATTCAAATTCCTCTTCCCAGCGAGGAAGAGATTGCAAAAGGGAATTTCACTCCTATCTTTAGCATTTTATATGTTTTCTGGTAGGCTTCAGCATACTTCCCCTTATACAAGTAAAAAACGATGACCCTTCGTACAGTCTAAAAGACAGCTGCCATAAATTGCGAGCAGACGGGACGTTTCACTTTTAGAACAGCGAAAAAACAATGATTTAGTTATTTCGTGTACTTGCGTCATCCTTCTGGCTCAGAGAGCTGCACCTACGTCGATCCAGATGATCTATATCATGGGTTCTCCTGCGAAAATCCAGCTGTGACCATCATCCCTTAGTAATAAGTAAGCAATGGTCTCACTGCTCTCAGATAATGAATTATTCATCTCGCACAACTTAAAGGTATTAAAACTCCTCGAACAGTATTTCTCGAACTGTAACTGGTGATTCACCATGTCAACTGAAGCCGCGTTTGCATTTCAAAACTAAAAACGAAACAAAAAGTTAATTTTGTGTGACTCTGAAGTTGGCGCCAGTCTTGGAAGAGTCCTGGAGTTTAGTTCGAATGTCGTTTATATCAGCAAGGATGATAGCTGAATGTTTGAATGCTATGCAATGTCAATGTAAATGGAGCATTTGCAATGCACTCTACTCTGAAGTCTACCTATAGGTGACTATGTCTAAGAATTCAATGAAATTCTCTGGTTTTTCATCCAGAGTCCATTCGATGAAGGCCCTTGGCAATCGACAGGAATTTCCGAAAATCCCTTAAAGTTGTCATTCAATGAGGAAAATGAGACTTCTCGTGGCATTGGAACAGGTTGTGCGTCCTGAATCGATACTCTCCTTGCCTTGATAAATCATGCAGAAGAGTGATGCATTTCCTCGCTAGATACCTCGTATATTGCCGATGAACAGAAGCACGATTGTCTCCGGCTGCGAGGAGTGTTTAGCCTCCGCCTTTCAGTAACAATTGCTGTTGGCGGCTGTTAACCCTTATCCGGGCAAGGGGTGTCCGTTTCACCCCAAGGCCTCAATTTTTTAAAACAGCATTCGAATTATTACAATCATTTTCCTGCAATTTTCAGTATTCATCCTTCAATGCGAGGAGACTCGCGCACCAGAAAATCACCAACCCGAAACGTTTTAAAAAGTATCTAATATATATAGACGATCGTGACTGACTGACAGACGATCGTGACTGACTGACGCTAATTCAAACCATGTTCTAGAATGGTTAGGAATCTGAATCTTGGTACACATGTACCTTTTGGGATGCAGAGTTCAGAAAAAATCCCACTTTGGAGGTACATGCCCTGGGGGTACAAATCTTCGGAGGAAACTTTTTTCTTAAATATATTTCGTGACAGATTAGCATGGCATTTGGAGAGACAAGTGGATGTCCTGGGTTCGGTGGTGTAGAAGTAGCACCTCTAACTAGAAAGCAGAACGTTCCGGGTTCAATTTCTGGCCACTCCTTGGCTTTCTTTTCGCTTTTTTTGCCTTCCATGTCCCGTTACTCAATCCCCCTCGATAATATTATTTTTGCTTGAGTAAAACGGAGAGACATGGAAAGCTGTAGCTTGGCATAGACGTGCCTACCGAGACGATGAGTTCATGAAAAAAAAAACTTAGATTCATGCCCTCGAGGCATATTTTTGTGAGCCGCCGTTTTCAAGTATTTTTTTTTTGTCCTGACATATTTAGCTAGTGTGGAAAGATGAAACTTGGCCGAAATTTGTGGGAAAAGTCCTATTTTTGCTATACAGTAATGGATCTGTGAGAATCCGCTTAAGTATATTCTATGATATTCTGTGTTCGAGAGAAAATAAAAGTAAGAATGGATTTTTTAAATAAATAAGTGGAAAAGTGGAAATAAGTATTTTAAAAAATCATTAAAATGGAGTAATGAAACGAATATATTCCTCTCAAAAAAGAAATCCACTCAATAAAGAAACTGAAATTTTAAATATGAAGAAATTGTAAATTCAATGACGTTACGACATATCTTTATTAATTTAAGTAAGGCGGAGCGAAATTAAGTATTTGACACCAATTTGCTTCTAAATAAGCACGATCTGTCCATGATTTGAAGTTTTACCTGACAACCTAGTAAAATGTATGTCGATACCATTCGTTCAATGAAACCCGGTGCAATGTCGCGTGGTGTTGCTAGTGAAAAAGCTAGGTTCCCGTCAATGTGTAGGGAGTCGTGGTGCAGTACAGCCGTCAAGGGTGCCAAGATTCTCAGAGACAGATTGCTATAATGCTATTACGAGATTGGAAACTGGTGAATTCCAGTCAATATTTGCAAGACATTTTAACTCGCACCGTCTCATGGTTATGGTATTGGTTTTAGCAACATGGTTCAAAGTGTGACGGTCCACGTTCTGGTGGATCATTCATCATCTCCCCTGCGCAATATCAGCACATTCGACTCAAACATCTGTGGGATCAGTTTGTTACTGCAACTTTTACACCATCACGAGTGCCTGGAGGGCGGAAAATGCCAGCTCAAACCATTGGCAAACCGTTTACGGACAGCAGGTTTGAGATCGCGAAAGCCACTTTGTGGGTTTGTACTGCAAGACCAGTACCGCAACTTTTTTGCTGTAGTTTCATAGGCATTCGGTATGCCCTCAAATGCATTGGAGAACAGTAATATTCAGTGAGAAGTCCCGCTATCTTCCGAGAGATACTGACGGTCGCACTCGGATTACGCACTCTCACTATAAGTTTCTTTCTTGAGTGAGTATAAATCCATCAATGAAATCAATTGTTTTTTAAATCGATACAAATGCATCCATCATATAAAGATACATATATCCATCAAATGTAACATAAATAACTTTTGAGTATGACTCGGCATGGCGGAATATGCCACATAAAAGCATTCCCGACACAAAACCTCCGTGACTTCTTCCCGATGCCTTACCCCTAACGAAAGTTATATGAGGCAAGTGAGTCTACATATATAACTAGCCCTTAGGGCTAGTTTAAAGGCTTTGCCCTTAGGGCAAACAAACTCGCTATGGATGCGCCATTGGTGCTCTGCGATCTAAGGCATCCGTTTTCGATGTTCGCCCCTGGTAGTGTTGCCAAACTCATTTGTTCATGGGATCAATTCTCACACCTTTGGCTCTGGCACCTTTAAAATGATGGTGTCTTAGAACATATTATTTGTGACTCCATGTCATTTGCATGAGGATCACCAAGTAACAATTGTCTGTGCGTCGTTTAGTGTTACATCGGTGTATTCAATTCCTGCTTATGGTTGACACTCTTGATTGCATTTAAATCTCCAAAAAAGTAGAAGTAGTACTAACAGCATATGAACCACATAAGCCACTTGAGAGTTTTAACACAATAACTCCTTATAGACTATGTTCACTGTATGGGGAGTTCTTTCATCATCTTCATATCTCTATTTGGTCACAAATACTTTTATAGAATCCCTTTTTCTGACTCTACCCAATGCTACATACAGTTGTCCATGGGAAAATACGTTATTGCGTAAATCCAGCCCAACATTGTCCAATGTTTGTCCCTGTGATTTATTAATAGTGAGAGCATTTGCCAACTTCAAAGGAAATTGTCTCCTCATTATTTTTAAATCAGACCGACCAGCTTGGAATTTGAATGGGATTCTAGGAATT